AATTTGTTTTATATTTTTTCCTATAACTTCTATTTTACAAAATTTGTTTCATATATTTTTTAAATTCTATTTTTTTCCTATAACTTTCTAAGCCATTATACAACATTAAATTAACTTAAGTAACATGAAACAACATTAAACAATATGAAACAACATTAAATAACATTAACCAACATTAAAATTATACAACATATGTGACATCCCGTCCCAAATTTTATGTTTTTATAAATTTTAAAAGCGTGAATTGATGAAAATGCCCTAGAGACAAGGGCTTTGACTTCCGTTGACCCTCGTTTAGATAAACGTATAACTTATTCTTGTAGCATATTTAAGTAATACTCGTCACTACAAACGCATAGGCGAAAGCTATTTACGAGTCCAGATTATAACAGTATAGTTATGGACGTTCGAAATTGGTTATTTAAAGTTTAGTTATAAATTAATTCAAACTCCCACCATGTGAGAGTGGTAACCAATCTGATTTAAGCAAGAAAATAAGGGACCAATCAGAAATTGAGGAGAGGAGAAGAGAGAAATAGAAGCTCCCAACTCCCCCAAAACCGCACCTACACCCATTGTGACCACCTATATTCCAAGGTTGATTCCGGCCAACTCCGATGGAATTTTTCGATGCCACCACTGCCATCTTGAAGCTCTCATTCCCCTCTGCAAAACCCACCCAAGAACCACCTTGATTAACCACGGTATGTGACGGTTTGAGGCCACGAAAGTCGACAAAAAATTAACGGTGCTCAGGCTACTCTTTTCAATATTTCGCCGAATCGGAAAAGCAATGGCAGATGCCACCACTTGGGCCTTGTAGCCCATCATCCCAGGAGAAAATCCCACCCAACCTTGACCCTGTTGGACCACCGTAGACGACGAATCAACACCGAGAAGCTTTAGGCACCCGCCGGCTTTGTGGACAAAATTGACCACCTTCCGTCCACTTTTGGACTTCGTGGCAGGTATGAAAGTTTCTCTACTCATTGAGATCTTCATTTTTGTGAAGTTTGAGAATTTTTGGAAATAGTTGGATTTTTCAGCGAGTCCGAGCGGCCGACCGCCACCCGCCGCAGCGCGTGACCTAGGAATCGTCAATGTTATTCTTAGGCTAAATTAGATGCCTTGAGTTCAGTTTTGGTAATTGAATAACATAGGTTGATTGTTTGGACCTAAATTCATTAAGATATGTTACTTGGTAAAAACATGAATTGACGATCCGACCGTTGGATTGTTACCAAACTTTAATATGTATAATACATAATATTTGAGGACCATAGGAACTTACGGATCGGGAATTTGATATACAGATCTTTCCGAATTGGATTCTTAAGTTCATAAAATAAAAGGTTAATTTTGGCAATTGGCAGAAATCCGACCATTAGATCGTAATGGGACTTTAGGATGTTGCTCTAGAAGTATAATGTTGATCTTTGGAAGTAACGGATCAAAAATCCGTGATGCAGATCTTCCGAATTGAATTACATAGAGATGCGTATGTAAATTGTGTATTTTATCGGTATGAATTCTAAGATGTGATTTGATAATTGGTCATAGGCGACGATGGTTCGTGATGTCTCGATATGCATGATAGAGAGTCGTAGTGCGGATCTCAGGTGAGTGAGTCTTTTCCTTTCTATCGTATATTATATATATGATTGACAATTCCACAAACATTTATAAATTGATTATGGCTTGATCCCTATTTAGGGTACGTACGCAGTCTAACGAGACGTTAGATGCAGCCATACAATAATTGAGACAATAGCCTTGTTTAAGGAATTGAGTAATGTGAGGGACATTGGTGGAAAATGTGAGATTTAACTTTATGATTTGGTAGTTAAATATTGGTCATAAATCAATGTGTGAAGAATCAAGAGTTTGAAGCAAGGAAACGTAAGTAATGATAGTTAATTAAACTAGTGTCTAGTTGGGCTTATCACCGATAACTATTCTCGAAAATAAATATTTCGAGAGTAGGGCGTTACAGTTTATGCATTTTTATGTCATATTATATATATATATATATGTATGTATATATGTATGTATGTATATAATTGAAAATGCTATAACATAGCTGAGTATCAGATTGCATCATGGTTTATCTATATGTATATTACCTACACACAATTATTATGAATGCTTGAAATGCAAAGGTGAACGCAGGACACCCAAGTAAGTTCAGGTGAGTTTACGGTATTAGTTGAAACAATGGGGTTATGGTAAGACTACATGTATGTTTAAGCAACTCCGACCTTATTGTATAGGTTGCAATGATAGGCAACTCTGACACTGTCGTACAGGTTGCCCATGAATCGTATATGTTACAATATACACAGTTAAAGCTCATAAACTTGCACCCCTGTGTTAGTGCTCCCGCCCGTGGCCAGGGCACAGTCCTTCACGTAAAGTTCACCTCTCGCACCTTACGCTCACCTTGGATCCAAGGTAGGTGCACAGTCCTGTCGTACAGACCACTATAGATGGTTCCGACTCGTAGGTGACCAGCGATCATTCGCACATTCTTCACGTGATCGTAGCACTTGAGCATATTTATTTACACCCAATTCTGTTGTACAGACCACTTTAAGTGGTTCCGACTCGTGTGCATGTATACTTATTGAGCTATGAATAAGTTGTACAAGTCACTAGAGGTGACTCCAACTTATAAGTTAGCATATGTGATGAGATATGTGATGAGCTAGCATATGTGATGAGATATGTTATGAGCTAGCATATGTGATGAGATACGTGATGAGCGAGCATATGTGATGAGATATGTGATGAGCTATGGATAAGTCGTACATGTCATTATAAGTGACTCCAACTTATATACTAGCGTTGATTGACGAGATATGGATAAGTCATACAGGTCACGTGCGGTGACTCCGACTAGTATGATTGGTGAGCTATTGATTCAGCCGTACAGGTCACGTGAGGTGACTTTGGCTGGCATACCATTTCATATTGATTTATTTCACATGGATTACTTATTCTTGTTGAGATATTTGACACGGCATAACCGTGTGACTGTTATTTTGGTTATGATTTTGAGTTATAGTCACGCCTGTTATTTTTTGGGAAATTATATAGGTGTTATGGCGAGGGGCTACTGCCTTTGGTAATTGAAATTGATATGAAAAGTTTTGTTTCAGTCACTCACATTTTCTATTTTTGCACCCCTCCAGGTTCTAGCAGCAGAGTTCCGTATCAACGAGGATTCGTGGCACTTTTCAGCACATATGTCTTCTTATGATGGTATAACAATTATCTTACTTTATTGTACTATACCTATGCTTTATATCACGTGTGAAATTGTTTCATTTCCGTTCACGGTGCACTCTGGTTTTTAGGCACTCTTAGGTTCAAATTTATTCATATTTTTCCACTTCATCACACTTTATGGCTTCGTCACCTTTCAGGTGTCGGCCAACAAAACTCGATTCAGAGTCCTTATCGACATTCCGAGTCGGGGTGTGTCAACATAAAACTTAAACACCTACTCCATGCTATTTTTGGCCCAAAGATGTGCAACAAGATCCTGTTGTAGGTACTTATTTGTGGCACGGGAACGTATCATTGAATTGAAAGAGATTGAATTGAAATAGATTGAATTCAAAGTTGTGTGAATTATAGCTCAATATCCACCCTATTTATAGCAAAAAAAAAATTCAAATCCAACGGCTAGCTGACGTCACTTAGCCGTTTGATTTGAATTTAAGTTGTAGTTTTTAAATAATAAATTATATTTGGCCCCATGACCCTTTGACTCTCGATTGGAGATGGAGGCAAATATGGTCATATATTGTTCATTAAAATATTAATTTCTTAGAGGGCCAGAGGGCTAAAACGAGTCCTATGGCCAACCTTCGGTTGGAGATGGCGTAATATACCCTTAAGTTTACCAGAAAAATAGATGGCATTACTGAAAATGACTAATAGTACAAGACATTGTTAAGTTCGATGACTAAAGAAATTAATATAAAAGTTTAGAGATTAAAATTAAACTAGGGGTAAAGTTTAGAGACCATTATAATCCAACAGGATCCTCTCCTGATCCTTTTGGTGAGGATCATGGGGATCTGTAAATCGTGTACGTTCATCGTACATCGTGCGGTCAGTTTTTGTCAGATACTGTTTGTATTTAATTTTAAATAAAAATATTTAAAATGATTTCTGACCGTACGATATACGATGAACGGATATGATTTACGGATTCCCAAAATCCTCACAAAGAGGATCTGATGAAAATTTGGATTCCATTATAATAATTAAGCCTAATATTATTTATTAATAAAATTCTCTTTTTCAATTAAAAATTTAAGGAAATATTATTATATTTTTTCATGCATAATTAAGAAAACATTTCTAAAATTATGGGTATTGAAGTAATTTTGCACAAAAATAATTTATTTTTTTAATTTTCTCACCCCACACGTCGTCAAAACAACCAAAACTCAAAAAATATCCCGACGTTTCAAATAGACAAAGATAACTTCTCTCTCCCGTTCTATACTTTTTTAACTTCTCACTCTGTTAATTTCTCACACGGAAATAGTATATGGGCCACTGCCAGCATATATATGGAGAGTTGTGCATGACAAAGAAATTTCCTTCAAATTGAATAATCTAGTGGTCTTCAAACAATGTTGGGGAGGAGTCCAACAGAAAATGATCTCAAGTCCCCAAATGCAAAATGTCAAAAACAAAAAAGGGAGAAAATCCCCTTATCTAGTTACAACTTGTTTCGTCCAGAATTCACAACAGAAGTTAAAGCCCCACTATCCCAAGAATAAACCGTCACGAACTTACATGTAATAGGAACGTCAAGTTGTCAATATTCCAAAACTAATTATACAATATCATAAGTGCATGTTAAAATATGCAGTAACTCGTGATGTGTTTGGAACATCGTCACTTTAGCATTTGCATGTAATTTTTCTCGTCTATCCCTCCCTCTTCCCTGACAATCATGCCAAAGGGGTTCTTCACATGTCTTTGTTTTGTTCTGAATATATAAAGCATTTCATCTCTCTGATTACAGTTGGTCCTAACACCAAATACTCACGGGCTCCATTAAACAGAGAGCTTGAATCCTCCAGCTACATAACACAGACCAGCTAGCAACAAACACTCATGGATCCAATTATTTCATTTCTTCTGCTTCTTGCATCTCTTGCCATCCGCCCTCCTGCTCTGGCTGCTCGATCCATACAACCAACCGCTCGGATCACTGTTGTGGGAGCTGTTTACTGTGATACCTGTTTAAGCAACAGTTTCTCTAGGAGCAGCTACTTTCTCCCAGGTACATAATCTCCGAAATACAGCAGTTTGATTTAGAAACTATAAATACGCGCTTCTGCTTTCAAGCACTTTTGTTAAAAGCACAGAAAATGTTTATAATGGTATGTTTAGGGATGCACTGCAAAAATATATTAGAGAGATTTCAAATGATACCTTTCAAGGTGTGATTTGAACTTAAAAGTAGTGCATTTTGTAGTGAATTAGCAGTAGATTTTTAGTGTTTGAGTAATTCATTGATTGTATTTATTGCATTTTTAATAATTTAGTCTAAAGCTCATAGGTACTTTAAAATCGCTGGTCTAAACATAACAGAGAAGTTCAAGTATTTTATGAAAATACACAGTGAAAATACTTCCCAACTTCTAAGTCTTTTGTCAAACCCCGTAGAATGCGCACTTTCTAGACTTTTTAGGTTTTGAAAGTTTTGTCATTCTAAAGCACTTTAGGAATTCTTTTTTTTTTTTTTTAAATGATGAATGTAGTTAAATTACTTAGTACTTATTAGTTTCAAAATAAAAATTGAATCTAAGACCCTTAATTTTTTTGATCAGGTGCGGACGTCCTCATAAAATGCAAATTCGGAGCAAAATCCCCCAAGTCAGCATCACAGATGAACTTCCATGTCAACAAAACTACAGACAAGTACGGAATGTACAAACTTGAAATCCCTTCTGTCGATGGAGTCAACTGCATCAGTGGCTTTGCCCTGAAGTCAATGTGCCAGGCAACCTTAATAGGCAGCTCCTCCTCCGCCTGCAATGTCCCCGCCTTAAGAACCACCGCAGACGAAATCTCAGTCAAATCGAAACAAGACAACCTCTGCATCTACAACATGAACGCCTTGAGTTTCCGACCACCTAAGAAAAATCTCACATTGTGTGGAAACAGGAAGGTGGAGGGTGAATTGGTAACTTCCTTCAATTCCTCCAAATTCTTCCTCCCTTACTTCCCACCGTATGGGTTCTTCCCTTGGCCTCAGCTGCCGCCATTTTCTTCCCTGCCCTTTCCTCCTCTGCCTCCTTCGCCATTTTTTGCCCCCATTCCCATTCCCATTCCCATTCCGGGGCCCACCGTCTTTGCCTTTCCCATTCCCACAATTCCCTCCGGCACCGAACCCTTTTTCCCCAAATGCTCCGCCAGCGTTTAACTTGGGGGATCCCAGGACTTGGATTCCTTATATCCCCTCAGTTCATCCTCCTCCTCCTCCTCCTCCTCCGCCGCCTGCGTTCAGCCTCGGAGACCCCATAACTTGGATACCATATGTTCCTCCTCTGTCCCCTCATAGGACCCAACAAAACCAGAATCCTTAGTTTTTCAGATATCTAAATAATTATGATCCATAGATATGATTGTTTATCACGGTCAAAAAAGCTTATTTGCCATGGTAGCAAAAAGAGATTCTGTTCATGTATGAGATGAAAAACATTTGGGTATAACAATTAAGAAATATTTTACATCAATCCTCCGTCCACGAATATTTATGTGCTGTGTTAGCTTGTGACTTGTAATTGTTTAGGGTTTAAGACAACTTCGAACTGGTCCTAAAGTGGCTAAGGGTTTTTATCAGAAATGGTCCACCAATATTTTCCCACACAAAAGTCCTCCCCATTGCGTTAACATTTAGCTACATGTTAAAACTATCGGATTGCAGAGAGAGGTTTATTTTCCATACAAGTTCTTGATAGAGCGAGAGACATTTGAGAGAGAATAACAGTTTTAGAGAGAGAGAATTATGTTTTGTGTATTCATCATCATCATTTTACATTAGTACATAGATATATATAGATGAGGTTTTCTTTAGTCACTAAGTAAGCTATCTGTCAATAACAAACTTAACCAACATAGGCACCTTGATCTATGTACACTTTTCATCATCTAAAATAACTAATACATCTTTACAAAAACAAGTCCGGACGCTCGTGCATGTGCCTCATTCACACGCAACTTTAGGGTTTTGACACACCCCGACCGAGGTCAAGGCATGCTGGCTGTCACGTGAGAGTGACATAGCCATGTGCATAGTGCGGAAGCGATAAAAATAGCAAATATACGAATAATTAAAAACCATATTACTAGAGTGCACTACTAAACGAAAGTGATAGGAGTTGGTTACAACAGTGAACACTCCTAATCAGAGCATAAAGTCTAGGTGCAGTCCAGTAGGACAAGTACTAGTTATACAGTACCAGGAATGTCCTACTATTATTCAAATAGGTCAGAACTGCCGACGATCCCGAGCCACCGACATCAAGTTTACTTAAAACCTGGAGAGGCGCAAAACAGAAAACGTGAGTGGGCAAAAACAAATGTCTTACAAATTCATTTCATTTATCAATATACTAACCCCTCGTTGTAAAACATGTATAATTTTTTCCCAGAATCAGAATATAAGCATATACGTAATATATAAATATATATGAAATCATATCAATTCAATTCATGCTTCACATAATCATGTTCACATGTATGCCATGCCAAAATATAACAAGGTAAACAATCCAGGCAAGAATGATTTCATAGAAATGTGATATTTTAGCTGGAACCCCTGAGGTAGTCTGTACGACTGAATTCATAAGTCAATCTAACCGAAGTCACTACAATGACCTATATGGCAATATACTGCACATAAGTCGAAACCACTAAAGAGGGTCTGTACGACAAGATTGGGTGAAATATAATTATGCTCAATTCTATTCTCTCATAATAGCCGGGCGATGAATCGCTGGTCACCTACGAGTTGGAACTATGAATAAGGTCCGTATGACAAGACTGTGCACTTAAGTTGGATCCAACATAAGCCTATAGTGCGGGAGGTGACGTAAATAAACAGGCATGTACCTTATATCTCTGTCTAAATCACAATCACACTATGTGCAGTTTTATGAGCTCAACCTTATTCAATCACATATCACATCATCAATGATTCACATAATCAAACATAACTTACCTGTGCCTCCATAGCACCACATTGATATATATATATATATATATATATATATATATATATGCAACCACGGAATGCATATTCAACATATAAAAGTATTTGGCATATTATTTCAAAGTATACTTTCCTTATAAATGCATTTCTGGGAAATATATCGAGTATATAAGTATATACTGAAAACAAAAGCCCACTCACTGGTATGTCGAAGGGTCGTAGCCCCCGAGTCGCCTGTGGATACGCTCGTCCTCGGGATAGGCCTCACCTATATGCGAATTAACTATAAAAACGTTATTTTAAAGCACATATACAAAATTAGCTAATAACTTCTCATACATTGCTCAATTTGGGTATATGAATATACCACAGTGATCTCCACAACCTCAGGATCATCCCTATATTTTTAGAATTATTTTTGGACCTCCCACGTGCCGACAAGGGCACGGCAAAAAACGCCCCCACGCGCGGCCTAAACCTGACGGATTCCCTAACCATCGTTAGGGAATATTCCGTTAAACCTAGCAGATTCTGGTACATTTGACTGACAGCGTCAGCATATTCCGTCCAAACTAACGGAATATGCCGTCATCTTCTCCGACGAGTCGCTGGTCGCCGAAAAATTAGGTAAAACTTTAAATCCACTATTCTCACTCGTTTCTTAACCATTTTTCATAAAATTGGTACCAAAATGAAGGTAAGGACAAGTAGAAACACGATATAACAATTTGGGTTCTTGAAATTCACGAGAACACGTCGGAAATTACCTCGACTTTCCAACCAAATTTAAAATGGGTCGATCTCCACTTTCCGACGTCCAAAATCCTCAAACGAACTATCCCTAGCCTCTTAGGGACCTCACAAAGCTTCCTATAAGCTTCAAATTCCATAAAAACAAGCCATAAGTTTTTGCATGAACAGTACCTCATTCGGGTTTAGGGTTTCCACGTGAAAACGAAGCTGTCCTTAACTGAAAATGGTATAGATGTGTTCGTCTAAGCTTCACGAACACAATGGTGCCATTTTCCACTTCGATCCGTCGCATTTGCAAATGTTTTGGTGTTGTTCATACACAATGCCGAGAGAGAGAGAGTGAAACTAAGAGAGAGAAGAGAGAGAACACGGGGGAGTGAGAGAGAGAAAAGTATGGATTTGTGTGGTCCAAACATGCACACCAATCACAATTCTTTAATCTTTTAATTCTAATTGGGTCCAATTAGTTAGGAATAGAACCAATTGACCTAATTTCTTAGTCCAAAACACAACACACATCCAACGCTCAAGGGTAAATCCGTCTTTTCACAATCACGACAATTTATCCTCGGGACGGGCTGTGACAATCTCCCCACCTTATAAAATTTCATCCTCGAAATTATAGATAACAATTACATCCATTAATAATCATAAAACAAGCATGGAAACATATCTCTCATCCAATCCTCTATCTCCCAAGTAGCTTCTTCCACTGAATGATTTCTCCATAATACTTTTACTAGGCACACGGTCTTGTTCCTCAGTTCTTTATTCTTCCAATCCAATATAGTCATTGGTTCCTCATCATAAGTTAAGTCCGAATTGATTTCCAAGGGTTGATGAGGAATCACATGTGAAGGATCTGAAACATAATGTCAAAGCATCGAAACATGAAACACATCGTGTACCTTGGACAACTCTGAAGGCAACTCAAGCCTGTAAGCAACCTCACCGACTCGCTCGGTGATCATATATGGTCCAATGTATCTAGGACTTAACTTTCCTTTCTTTCTAAATTGTACAACACCTTTTCAAGGTGATAGCTTCAGAAATACCCAATCGCCTACATCATACTTCCGTTTAGTGGCATGCTTGTCTGCTAAGCTCTTTTCTCGATCTTGGGCCACTTTCAGGTTAGATTTAATTACCTGAACATTTTGAGTAGTCACATTCACAATCTTAGGGCCCACTAGAACTCTTTCGCCAACCTCTGACCAACATAAAGGCGTACGGCAATATTTCCCATAAAGTGCCTTAAATGGTGACAAACCAATGCTGGAATGATAACTGTTGTTATAAGCGAACTCCATCAAATCCAAACAATCATGCCAACTATCTCCAAACTGCAGCACAAAATATTTCAACATATCATCTAATGTCTGAATGGTCATCTCAGATTGTCCATTTGTTTGAGGATGATATGTCGTACTATAAAGCAATCTCGTACCAAGAGTTTCCTGGAATGCTATCCAAAACTTGGAAGTAAATTGGGATCCCGATCCAAGATAATATTAACTGGCACAGCATGATACTTCACAATCTGTGATATAAATAACTTAGCTAATCGGCTTAACGAATACTTCTCCCTCGCTGGAATAAAATGCGCTAACTTCGTAAGCCGATCAACTACCACCCAAATGTCGTCATAACCATTCTGGGTACGAGGGAGCTTGTACACAAAATCCATAGTAATATTTTCCCATTTCCACTGTGGAACGGGAAGTGGTTGCATCAACCCGAACGGCTTCTTTCTTTCAGCTTTAACCTGTTGGCAAATGGCACACCTACTCACATATTAGGCAATTTCTCTTTTCATACCTGGCTAATAATAAAATGGTCTAATGGTATGATACATCTTAGTGCCTCCTGGATGCATCGCATATGCCGAAATATGTGCTTCATCCAAAATTTCTTTCTTTAATTCTGTATTATTCGGCACATACATCCTACTTTCCTGCATAAGCATGCCATCAGTTTCTCGAATCTCAAAATCTTTCTTTTTTCCTTGGTTTCTTGCTTGAATTATTTCCTGAGTCTCCTCATCAATAATCCGAGTCTCAAGCACACGATCAATTAAAACTGGCCTAACCTGGAAATTAGCAAGCAAAGCTTCTCCTCGATCTTCCACTCCTAGCTTCACTCCAGTGGACCTCAAATCTGCTAGAAGAAGAACATGACAATCATAAATGGCATTAAGTCTGGCTGGAGTCTTTCTACTCAGTGCATCAGCCACTACATTTGCACGACCATGATGGTACTCAATTGTGCAATCATAGTCACTAAGCAACTCAATCCACCTCTGCTGACGAAGATTAAGATCTATCTGAGTAAACAGATACTGGAGACTCTTATGATCTGTGAAGATCTTACATTTCTCACCATAAAGATAATGTATCCAGATCTTCAAAGTAAAGATGATAGTCACTAACTCCAAATCATGTGTAGGGTAATTCTTCTCATCAGGTTTCAACTATCTCGAAGCATAAGCGATTACCCTACCATGTTGCATCAATACACAACCCAAACCATTCAGTGAAGCATCACTATAAACCTTATAATTACCACTATCATCTGGAAGTGCTAGAACAGGTGCATGAGTGAGATAATACTTCAATTGCTGAAAACTTTGCTCACATCTATTATCCCACTCAAACTTAACATCCTTTCGCGTCAACCTCGTCAATAGCAAAGCAATCACTGAAAAATCCTTAACGAATTGTCTATAGTAGCCTGCTAGGCCAAGAAAACTTTGTACCTCAGTGACGGTTC